AACTCCTGACCTCAGGTGATCCACCTGCCTCTGCCTCCCGAAGTGCTGGGATTACAGGTATGAGCCACTGCACCAGGCCAGCTTTAAATTTAATGGAGCATTAATCAGGTAGTACTTGCCTTTTTCTTTTCTTCTTCCTTTTTCTTTACATTATAGATAACTTGAAAAAGGTCTTTAAGATCAACAACTAATGGTTCAGCCTGCAGCAAGGGAAAGCACTGTTATCAGTATTTTAATTTTAGTATTTTATTTCCTTTGTCTCACATCAGTTATAATTCATACTGGGATTTTTTTTAATCTTAAAACTCCTTACTTCCCTCCCCTGGCTTATTTATAGGGGATCACCACCAACCCAATCCTCACCCTTAGGTACATAAAGGACAGCAGGGTTAATAAGTATTTAGGCAAAATAAGAGGTATCATGATCATTTTCGAAGTCCTTTAAGGTTTCTGAGAATGATTCACCATTGTTCTGAAATCGATATTCACTTTATAAGAAGGTCCGTTCTCGCAATCCTGTGGCACACAGTAGTACATGGCTATCGATGACATTTTTTAAAGATTCCACAGGCCAATAAAGATAGTCATTATCTGAATCATTATTTAGCCCTCCTACATCCAATTATTTCCAGTAAATTTTCTAGTTGAGTGACAGACACTCCAATGTCCAACAGAGGACAAGTCCCCAGGTCTATGGCAAGACTTAGAGCTCACCTGTTGCCCGGTTTTTATGGCAAAAAACTGATGTTGGCCCTCTCCTCCACACACGTAACCAAATGCCCGGTTGTCTGTCACATCACGGGCAATGAAAGAAATCTTATTTACTGGATGTTCATGCTCTATTACCTTAAAAAAGAACATAAAGAGTAATTTATTAAGAAAACCAGAATCTATTTGCAGGCTAGCACACCTAAGCCTCAGACACATATATGAAGACATATATGAAAAGGTTAAACCATTTGAAGAAAGGTTAAAGAACTAAAAAGTTTCTGGTTGAAGGCTAGAGCATTACTCTTGCTAGAAAGGACTTCAAAAGAAAGAAGAATAGAAAACAAAAGTGAGAAGAATGTTCCTTCTGAAAATATTGATACTTTACTCTCCCTGCTTTAAAGACATGATGCCATATAGCAAGGAATGACTGAGGATTAGAAGACCAAGTGAAGAGGAGACATTTAGCCCTTAAGCTAAGTCAAATAGGCCGACTTTCCCCACTCAAACACAAACTTAAATGAACAGCATAACTAAGCTAGAGGAGTGTTCACAGGGATTCATTGACGATGGCTCAGAGTGGCCAAGGAACCATCCTATGTGTTATTGGAACAGTATTCCCAGTATATTCTGCAGGATACCAAATACTGTCACCAAGTATTTCTCAGCCCCACCTAGACAGCCTAATACATAGTAACATAATGTAGTTATTACATAATGACTATGTCATTAACCAGGAATTATAAGGGGTGGGGACTTAATTGGCTTAGCAGTGTCTTTTCTTCTATTTTTCCCTCCTTTCTCTTGATCCTTTCAAGCAGGTAACAAGGTTCAACTCTTCAGGGATATTTGTAGGTGGCAGAGTGTGTCTCGGCTTTTGGTCCTGAATGTCTAAGGCCACTGAAAAATTTTTATTATCTTAGAAAGTTTGAGGAGAGAAAGAAGGGTGAGAGAAACATGCCACCTTTCTCTGATGGGCTTGGGAAAATAAGAGTTGAGAGATAAGGGCGACTGATGAAGAGAGTGGTGCCTGAGGACCCCAGCACCAGCAGGCTGAGTGGGGTCCACTAGGGTGCCAGGGCCCTAGGTTTGCATAGTAGATAATGGGCACTCTAGAAAGGGATGAACAGTAACTGGAAGTCTCCCCACAGTATTGTGATGCAAGAGAGTATTTTATAGCAATGGTAATGAGCCACACACATTTTAAAATAAATCACAGAAGGCTTGACGTATGATAAATAG